CTGGATTGGGTTCAAAATTACAAAGCTATGGAGTTGAACATTAGTAGTCGTAAACCCAAAAATTGGGTCGGCTGTTCATTGACGGTTATAAAATAAAATAGATTACTATTCAATAAAATATTTATTCACTATAAGAAAATAGTATATCATTTACATTAAAGCGAATAGTCCAGTACATTATGACGAGAGGTACAGAATGTTATAAAAAATACTATTAACATCTAGATTCGATATAATGACAGTTATATCGAATGCGTATTATTAAAAACTTTGGCCCGCATTGAATTACATTTTCGTGCAAATTCATTGTAAACTTAATGAGGGGATTGTTGAATTATATTGCGATACAAATTCAATCGTCAATTCAATATTAAATATATATATATATATATACGATAAAANGAAAGTGTATACACGGACAAAAGAAATTCAGGTAAAATTACTGTACTGTGTGGTAATGACATTTTGGGTAACAGAAACTCCCATAATTCTGGTAATAAAAAAAAACAAAATATATAATATTTATAAACCATTCATTTGGTAGTTTTTCCGTACATATGGTACTGGTTTTTTTGGATATTCTGGTCTTCAAGTTTTCATTACCAAACATTTAATAAAAAATACAAAACAAGAGAGTAAATTTAAAAAGATAAATGATTTAAATAAAACGCCATAAGAAATCATGGTAAAATTACAAAATTTCGCCACATTTATTAAATTTTTACCACACTTTATAATACTATATTTAATCAAATTTAACCACGTATGGTTAAACATAATATTTACCCAAATTCAATCAAATTTGGTCAATTTAATCAAAATTATTACCAAAGCGCTTCTGTAAAAATTACAGAGTTTTTTGATGTTTCCACATAGCCCGAAATTCAGTAAATTGGACTACTTTCTGGTAGTTTCGACCTAACTTTTTTTCTCAATGCGCTAATGAAAATGTATAATTTGAAGGAATATTTTTCAATATTTATTCATTCTTATTTCTGTCGCTATTATATTAGAAAAAAAGCTATTATTAGAAATTCTCATCTTTACTGATAAAAATTTGACAATTCTGATAATAATAAAAATTAATAATTAAAAAAAAAAAACAGCAACAACGGGATACTGGTAGCTACTGCGCGTTCGCTATACTTCACGCTGAGTTTTTTCATCTTCAGAAAGCACATCTTTTTTTTCTTCCTTCCATTATTATGGAATGAGCAGTCATAAACCTTAAGTGAATGTCCTACAGAAGACGTAAACGTTTATCCTCGCTGCTTTTCGAACAGTTACAATCAGCCTTTTAAGTATGGCCTACAGTTTAGAGTTATGTGCCACGGACGATGATAGCGATATGCATACCTGCTGAGTCAGATGCATGGTGGGTAATGGTCTCCCTTTGCGTGTCTGTTGGATTATGTATAATTATTTAATCCGAAATCAGATGGAATAGAACAGCGTTTTTGTTCGAGAGAAGAGATTCGGGTGCCCTTTCCCGAAACACGTTATGGTAATTCCTGTTGTAAATAGCCAGGGTGTTACTGAAATATAGTACTGTTCCACGCGATAGAACTGTCTAGAGCAGACCTACTTGCAACGAATGCCTGTTTTTTTCTCTCTTTTTTTTTAAAACGAAAAAAAATAATGTTTTTAAATGATGCGTAGCTTCTAAAGAAATGCGTTGCTTTACTTTTATAAAATAAATAAAAAAAAACAATAAATGATTTACCTATTGATCTAATGATCAGATTTTGACGTACTTAGTTACACGATTCTTTTTTTAATTTCGAAGGGGAAATCAAATGCTATTTAATTAATGCTAACGAAATTATATTCACAAACTTTTTTTTGAATCATACTGTAAAAAAATTCCGGATCAAGTTACGGTGAAAAGTATTGGTCCTCAGGGTACCAGTATTTTCCATCGTAAAATGTTACCGGAACATGTTGCGGAACAAACAGTCTGATATACCGTACTTTTTACATTATTAGTTACCCTAAGGTCACCGAATCACTCTAGTTAAATAAATATTTTTGTAAAAATTACGGAGTAATATTTTAAAATAAAAATGGATTTTGCGGATGATTCACCTCAAATACTGTTACTTTGTACCGTAATTTGATTCCGAATTCGTTAGACTGAGGTCAATGAGTCTATATTTTAAAAAAGTAAGGAGTTTATGTAGAATAGGTAATGAAAACTTTTGAAAATTTATTATTTTACTTGTTTTATAGGTAAAAAAAAACAGGCAAACGTTTTAAAAGGTGACATATCATATTAAAAACGATATAAGAAAAATACACATAAACAGAAAAAGAAAAAATATATATTTTAATCCTCAAAACCTAAAAAAGAAGATACCACAAACTGTGCAAAAAGGCTGTGTGTAATAGAGATTAATATAAAAAATGCAGAAAAAACATCTTTTTCATTTATAAAGGAAGTTCATTCATGTAAAAAATAATTTTTCTTGTAATTCATGCATTGCTATAAAAATTACGGTATAATATTTTACAGGAAAATGAATTTTACGGCTGCTGTACTTTATACTACTTAATCCTAAATAAGGTTTTATAATCGACAGTTGAATTCACAGTTCTGGACTTGAATCTAGTCATGATCTGATTTTTTTTGGCGCATAAGCATAGGCTGAAAATGACTAAAATAGCCCAATTATTGTTCTCGGGAAAATGAAAACTGAACTGCTATAAACGTTACGTTAATAATGGTTATTAAAGAAACATATTTCTTTATAATTAGCCATTATTTTATAAATACATGTCCTTTTCATGATTTATTTAAGTCATTAAATAAACTATATTATTATAGTTCTTATTTGAAAAATTACGCACTTTTCCCGAAAAAAAAGTTATATTTCTTTTTTATTGGCATTTTACTATAAATAATATCACAAAGGCAACCAAAATATTAAGTAAAAATGGCTTATTGATTGGATCTAAATATAATTACAGGTTTCAAAAAATATTTTCAAAAAAAAAGTCCTAACTAAGTAGCGCGTTTACCTCTTTCAACGAACCTTAGGGTTCGGCGGAACACCATTTAGGAACCCCTGATTTAGACTATCAACAACCAATAAATTAAAGTACGATCATAATAGATCAAACGATATTAGTTATTATTTTCACTCAGAGCCAAATAATGCGTTGCTTATTTTAACTCATATTTTCGATAGCATTATATGTTTACAACGTAACTTAAATTTCATTATCATTGCCTGATAAAGTTTACATCACCGGTATACTCTAAATTGCCTGTTTAATCAGACACTGACTTCATATGTCGGTCTTAACTGCAAGCCACTTAATATTCAACCCACGAAACATCTCCCAATTAGGCGGAAAACCTTTTTTTAACCTTGTTTCAAATCTTCTTGTGATTATTCAACTTTTCTAGTTTCTCAAGTTTTAATTAGCAGAAAAACAAATTAAATTTGGATTAAAAAAATATTTTAAATTTAATTCGTGCCAGAGATTTGAGCTCTTTAATTCCCAATTTTAAACGTTCATTTATTAGACGAAGGTCAGTCTTATCTTTCTATTATTTGTACTTCGTTAATTTGTTGAATAATAATTTCTTGACGCGGAAAATAATACAATGAAGATTTGATTTCTCTTTTTCACAGTTCCAAATCACTTATATGTTATCACAGCTAGTGGAGTGGCACGAAAACCGTTTGATAAGAAAATAAACCTAAACGAGTTTATTTAATTAATGTTACTTTTTTTAAATCAATCATAGAAATATAATGATAATGTTAGTTTCTAGGGAACATAAAATGTTGGAAAATGATCTGGAGAGGTTCTAGGCGAGTTTTTGATGAATTAATTCTCCTCAAAAATTTTTTCAAAACTGGCGGCGGTAAGACTTACTTGCTTAAATTCGCTTTATTCTCTTTGCTAACTAGTTTTTCAAATAAAAATTTAAGTTAAAGTATAAGTTTTTGTTAAATTACGTATAATAGACATATTATAAAGAGTCATTTTTATCTTAGGATCGATCATTATTTTTTATATTCAGAAATATCGCATTTATCGTAAAGCAATGTGTCCTGATGAAGATCTTTACGTTTTTCCATTAAAAGTTTTTCTATTTTATTTTATTTTAAATCAACTTAATTCTTTCTTTTAAATCAACTTAAAAAAACTGGATTTTAAAAGTTTAGTTATATTTCACTTTTTTCTTTTTAGTTTTGTGACTGCAATTTGTCGAATAGTGATCGAAATTAAGTTTGGCGTTAAAAAGACTATGTGTTTTGCTTGTAACATTCAGGACATGTTTGATTCTTGTATTGCCGATAAGCACGGAAATCCAGTAGAGATTTGAGCACTCTAGTTAGTTAGATAGTAGTTCAAATTTTGACTGATATTTAATTTCCTTCGACGCTAAGATAAATTTTTCTCGCAGTGGTTTGAAACTAACATTTTCATCAAGCATTTATCTTCAGTAAATATTTAAGTGCTTTAGCTATATCAAATAGAGACCAAAGCTCTGTTACAAATATTCCTATCTTCAGTACGTTTATAAGGTAAAAGAACGCTTATAAAGCAGCAGTAATGAAGTAAAATGTTGATTGCTTTATTTCTTTTCAACATTCACTCACACCTATGACTTAGCTTAAAAAATCTTCTTTTTTTCTTCTTCCTTTTCTTGGACCTATATGCATGTATCTTTAACTTAATAAAACTTTTCTATGAAATTGCATTTCCATACTGTTCAATAACAAAAATTATCAGAGTAACATTATTTAACACCAAATTTAAAGTTATTCATGGAAATAATAATTATTCAAGAAGCAAGTAGTGCTAAATAGATATTAGAAGGTATCGTCTGAAATGCTCGTAGAAACAATTGAAATCCATCCAGTTTTTTTTCTTAGAATAAAATTTATTTCAGCTACATTATTAATTTTGAAAATATTTTAAGATCTCTAATTGTTAGTTAGTGTTTCTTCAAAGTCAATAAATATTTTTTCTTCTTCTTCCAGACCCTTTTGTGCCACCGCCCCTCTGCTGGGCCCACCATCCACACTATCATCCACAAAGTCCCATGCCCGAGGTACCTCTCATCCACAGGGCCCTGGTGGCCGCCCGTGAAGGTGATCTGCAGGGACTACAATTGCTCAAAAAGAAACAGGAACTTTTACAGGGACTGCACGATGACTTTGGTGCAACGTGTGTCCATTATGCGGCACGTGGAGGCCACGTCAAAGTTCTAGAATTTTTGATCAACAAATGCTCCATGCGTGCGAATGTTCGATCTTTTGTGGGTGCTACCCCTGCTCATGACGCTGCTGCTATGGGCAAGCTACCAGCAATGGTGTGGCTTCTAAGGAACACTGATTGCACATTGTGGGACAGAGATAAGGATGGCGCAACAGTTTTGCACATAGCTGCTCGGTAAGTCCATTTATCATATTCTACGTAGTGGGTGAAGGGCGGAGCAATTCTCAGATTAAATTATATAAAAATAATTGTTATAATAACAATATAGAAAAAGCCATCATTTTAGACTAACACTCCCCGCGTAGTAAATGGTGGCTGAATCACGCTTAATCTATCGGGTCACAAAGTCCTCCATGTTCCTATAACAAATCATACCTCCAGGGGTACTGATCCAGGAGTTTCCTTGTCCTCTGGATTGGTTCAAAATTACAAGGCTACGGAGTTGAACATTAGTAGCCCGGATTCAGAATTGGGTCGGCTGTTTAACTACGGTTATGAAATATAAAATACCTTCTTCGATAATTAAATAGTATATAGTATTAGCTGCAAAGTTATTAAGAATAAATAATTCATTATTTTTACTTTTAAACATAACTTTTTTATTAAAGAAATTCAAGACTAATTTTTTTATATATATTTAATCTATGGAAGTGTAAAGCTGATAGCCTGCAAAATTATTTTTAAAATACATAAATTTTTATGAAATTTTTTGTAATAAGTGTTTGCATTGTTCCTTAATATCCTAACACAGACGTTATGTACCAAGTTTTATACAACTTTAAAAAAATTATAAGAATCGAAGCAAAATTAAAAGTAACATTTATAAACAGTGCTGATTTTTTTTTCTACTTTAAATTTATATCTCTCTATTTATGGATTTTAAAAATGAGCATTAAATGTAAATATGATAATGGTAAATGCCAGAAACAACCACTATTATTAAATTGCTCGTACTACTATTATTTAATTTTTTTAAATAACAGATTTTACTTTTAAAAACCAAATTTTAAACAATACTGCTCATGGAAAAGGTTGCTGTTTTGTAATTAACAAGGTAAACAGTTGATTAGTAATTAATAGTGGTTCTTTATTTAAAATTTTTAAAAAAAGTCAATACATCATTATAATTTTTACTAGTAAATGTTTCCAACATTTTAAAAGAAAAATACATTTATTAGTAAAATATCTATGCAGATAACGTTTTTTTTAAAAAATTTTAAACATTAATAAGATTTGTAACAAGATATAAATATTTAAAAAAATTGGAAGAATTTAATAAAGAACTTTCACTTTCATTAATAACAGACACAGACTTACACAAATGAGGAAAACGTATGAACCAGAATCTGGAATCGTTAATATTAATAATCATCGTGTTCTCTCAACTTATAAATTGTTCATTACTTATTCCATGTAATAAAGTTGCATCTAAAATAAAAAAACAAAATAACAAAAAAAACAGGATTTAAAAGCATAAAATATTGTTCTAAAAAAATTTGTTGTCCGAAGTCAAAAGCTCTTTTCGTTATAAATTTTAAAAATTTGCTTATTTATTCATCTACTTATTTATCTAAGTTTTTAAAACATTTGGCTATTTATGAACGCCGTCTTCTCCGTGATTGATGTATAATTTTTTAAATTTTTAATATTTTAAATTAATCAAAAATAAAAAAAAGGAAAGAAATTGCAAATGTTTACTGTTGCCATCTAGTGTAGAATAATACAACTAAAACCTTACCGGACGTTCGTCTTATGTCGTTCTGTTAGTTAATATTTCCTTATTCTTTAATAAGCAAGTGGTATACGAATTTAGAACTCCATGACTGATTTTTTTTTTTAATATTATTTTATTCAGAACATTTTTGTATTGAACATGACTTTGTCGAAAAGAAATGGTGCATTTTGGTTTGAAAATTACACATTATATTTTTTAACATTTTAAACAACATCTTCATATTTTTGTGTCAAGGGACATACGAAAAGGGTACATAAGGTGATTATTTATTTTCAAAATTTTCTTATTCTTTCAAATTATAAAGAGAAAACTAATCTATAACAAACAATAAATGAGTTTATAAATCTTAAGTTTAGCAAGTTAAAATATAAAATAATTGAGTCCTTAGTTTATCCCTCATTGAATCCTTAGTTTATCATGAAATAAATATTTTATGCTTATATGACTGTTTCGTTGACTTGCCATTTATTGTTAATTAATATTGTCTGAATTGATCGTCATTTTTTTGCATTGTTTGTCAATTAACAGTTATTATGTAACCAGTTATTTTTAAATGTGCGAAATTCAACCAATTTTCTTACTTAAGGGATTGATTTTTGTTTATGAATGTGAAGGAATTTAATGTTTTAAACGAAAAAAAGAGTGTAATTTGGCAATATCTTATAGTTTTAAATGTAGGTAACTTTGCATTATATTGGTTTTAGTTTATTTTTCACTTTATCATGACCATCTAATAATAAAGCATATTATTAAGAAAAAAAAAAAAAAAAAAAAAAAAAAAAAAAAAAAANAAAAAAAAAAAAAAAAAAAAAAAAAAAAAAAATAAAAAAAAAAGCTTAGTTTATATTCTTCTAAATATGAGGGAACTATTAGTCACATTTTAGTATTAATATTATTCCCCTTTCAATGATTAAGAAGCTTTATTTCGGTAATTTTAAAGACCTGTGATCAAGCATTCAATATTTTTTGAAGAAAAAAAAGGGGTTTAATTATTAGGCAAGTCGATTTTTTTTTTTCAAATTGAGACACTAAAATAAATACACCAGAACATGATAAAACCTAGTTTTTACGTTAAAATAGAAGTAAAAAGTATCATTCTTAGATAATCTACCTGATTTAATATAAATGGTTGAATACACATTTTCGTGGGTAACTAAGCACAACACAGAAAATTACATAACTTCATTTTTTTCAAATAAATAATTTGTCCGCCAATATTAATAATAATATACGCGTTTAGTGACAATGAAAGATTATCTAACTTGCTTTCTAAACAAAAAAGTTTTTTTTTTTTTTTTGGATGGAGAATAACTATAATTCTTATTTTAATTTCTTCTACGACTGTAAAAAATTTTTTAAATTTTATTTCTAAAGTTAATTTTCTAATAAAAGTAACGTAATATTTGAGCTTATTTTGACTTTTGAATTATGTCTGTGAAGTTAAGTAAATGTTTTTCAATCTCGGGAGTGAACTATAAGATAAGCTCTTTTGATTCAACTTAATAAGCTATTTTTCTTATTTTAGTTCCTAATAAATGAAATTCGGTATCGTTTACTTTAATTTTACGTTTTTTAAGCAAATCTTCGGATAATATAAATTGTAATCTTCAATTCTTGTGAATTCACTAATGCGTAAAAGCTTCAGGATTTTAAAATAATCATATGATTTTTCAGGAATTATTCAGGACTTTTCAGCAATTATAATTTGATATGCATTCTGCAAAAAGATGCAAAAATGTGTAAGCTTTCGAATTCAAATTTTTCCAGCTGTTATTAAATGAAAAATAATAAAAAATTATAAATAATTACTAATTTTTTCTGTAATTTCAAAAATATATGGGTTTTTTTGCATAAAGATAAAAATTATCTTCGGATGAACGAATTTATTATTTCCTGCAAAAATGCTTCAGTTTACTTAAAAAGTTCTCTAGATATGGAGAAATACGCAAAAAGTAAAATTAACATTAAGTGGTTAACATTAACTTTGTGCCGCTCTCCTGGCCGAAATATGGGGACCATATTTCTCAGATGGCGGCAATCTTTTGCATTTTGGGGATCAGAAACCAATAATAAAAGGGTACATTTATTCTGATAAAATACGTTTTTGTGTCTGATTTAGTGGCTTAAAATACGGTCTACACTCATTAATTAGCATCTAGGAGGTTACTTTCTCGAACCATTGAGTCCTAGTACATTAAAATCCAATCCTTAGGTAAAAAGTGATTCTGGGTCTTTCGTTACATATTTCGCAAACGCATTCCTGTATAATTTAAAATTGTATGCATTAAATTTTTTTTAAAAATATTTCTTAAAAGTGATGTTAAAAATGTAAATTTTCGAAATTCATGATTGTTGTGTCCTTCAAGATTTGCTCCTTATTGTATAAAATGTAACAATATAATGTAAAATTTCTATTGAAATATTTAAAATTAATTTTGAATCAAAATAATATCATTATTAGGAGAACAAATTATCCATTCTAGACTCTGGAAATTGTAATTTTATTATAAATCTATCTGTCTTGAAACCGAACAATTTTCAATCTTTTACTAATTGTTTACCTTGCCCTCATTTGAACGAATAACATAATAGCAATTATCGATAGATGTAGAGGCAAATAATTTTAATTGTTATTCCTTATTATTCCGGCAGAAAAAAAAACTATTTAGCCTTGATTTAAGTGTCGCGTGCTAGTCTGTTTCTGTTAAGAGAGTCTGTCTTATTTATTATTTCCTTTCTTTTTTAATTTTCATTAATTATAAATTTTTTTATTAATTATAAATTTTTATTAATTCTTAATTTTTATTAATTCTTAATTTTTATTAATTATTAATTTTTATTAATTATGAATTTTTATTAATTATTAATTTTTTATTATATGCTTTATTAATTATTTGAAATTATATTCTAGTTTTATTGAACCAAAAACAGCTATAAAAATATTTATTTATTTTTTCATTTTAGTTTTAGATTTATTAACTGATTTATATCTGAAAGAGGACAAAATTTCTTTTGGTAATAAAATAGAAAAAATTTGTGTGCAATACTTAGAAAACAAGTTGTGCGCGCAATACTTTATTTATTTATTTATTTTCATTTGGAACTAAGCATAATTTCGAACATCCTAACATGTCGAAAAATATTCGAAATTTTAGTTTATTATATTTTTCTATCTTTATATCATGGCTTTAAATTATATTTTTATCGGTTAGGAAATAATTGAAAGTTATATTGATTCTCTGAACAAAACTCCAGTTGCAACTTGAGTATTCTAGTTAGTTGAAAAATGATCAGAATTTTGATTGATGATAAATATTCAATGGTAATATGGAGTTGAATTCTGCTTGTATTGATATCCATCACGGAGCTACAGTATTAAATTTAGACACTCTAACTAGTCGGAAAGAGATCAAAATTTTGATTGGCAATGATATCAGTT